CTTTTCTACCATTGGTTGCCTATCTGGGAATATCTTGGGAAGATCTTCGATTTGCAACGAAGGTCTGAGAGATCCGGCGGCTCTGGAACGTTGGGAGCGGCCAAGAGGGGGTTGTCCAAGAGGGGGGGTCCAAATCATGACCGGCGGCATGTGCGCGGCCCGGCGGGGGGGCCAGGGACGTGATGAAACAAGAAGAGGCGCCATGAAATCTGGGGAAATATCATGGCCCCCGCCACGAGATCCACCCCCCCACCTCAGTCATCATCCCCCTCTTTGCCGCCCCCGAGAGCGCTCCGCAGGACCCGCGCCCCGGAACCCCAGCCCACGAGGGCGCGGGCACGGATGTGCGCGCTCGCCGCTCGGGGAACGCCGCGGAGCGGCGCCCGAGGCCTCGGCCCTCCGCACCCGTGGGGCAGACGAGCGCGCTCCACTGCTCGCAAGAAGTGCCTGCTCGCAGAGGGCCTGGATCCGCCGCGGGGGGGCCTACGATACAGTCGGGGCGTTGACCTAAGGAACCCTAAGTAAGGAACGAGGCCCCTTGATCCCAAAAGTTAAGATTGGATTTCCCATCGAAAACCTCAGGATAACCCAAGCCAAACTGTAAAACAATCAAGGAACACCGAGCCCCTCCCCAACGAGAAGGGTTCCTTCTTCAGCGCCCTGACTGTACAGCTGGGCCTGGGCCAGAAGAACACCCCTCAAGAACATGAGACCCTCCGCCGGTGAACGCAAGCAGGACAGCCAAGGGTACCCCCCCCCGGATGCACAAGAACATCCCGCAAGCGCGAGGAACGCTGGGGGTACCCATCCCGAACCGACCTCGATCTCATACCTCGGTCAGGCTGTACATTCCATCGACTCGATGGAATGTACAGCCTCGGAGGCAGACGAAGGTTTTCTGTCGAGCGTTTGCGAGCGGGCACTCTTACGAGGCAGGGATTTATCCAGATCCACCGCCTGTGAACAGACGTCCTGGTGGCCCAGCGGGCGGTGGATATGGATAAATGTTTCGGCCCCTATGGGCCCGAATCTGTCCATGTCCACCGCCTGCCGAGGCTCCGAAAACTGACCCTCCAGGCGGTGGACATGGATAGATTCCCGCCTCGGCACTCTGCCAGTGGCGGAGCGCGCTCGGCGAGAGGGGCTGGCAGGGCGGGACCCCCCCGGGCCTCGCAGCCCCGCGCGTGCCGGCCCAGGGCTGTTGCTCCGCCTCGGCCGAGCTCGATCACGCCCGATCCTCGTCCTCCTGCTCCTCCCTCCTGCTCCTCCCCACCGCTCGCTCCCCCCGAATCCCATAACCCAAAGCCCAACACTTGCAACACCTCACCATATGACATCCTGTCTTGATGCCTCCCTCTCCTGTCTGGTTGCTCCTCCTCCCACCCCTCCTCTTCCTCCTCCTCCTCCTCTCCTCCTCCTCTCCTCCTCTCTCTCCTCCTCCCCATCTTCCTCCGCTTTCCTCCTCTCCTCCTCCTCCTCCCTCCTCCTCCTCCTCCTCCTCCTCCTCCTCCCTTTCCTCTTCCCTTTCCTCCTCCTCCTCCTCCTCCTCCTCCTCCGCCTCCTCCTCCGCCTCCTCCTTCGTTTACATTGCAAGAGTTTCACGGGTTGAGGGCGGTTCCTTCTCAAAATGTGGCTCTCGCCTTAGCGCCGCGCTCATACGTTTCACATATGTGCAAAAGTTTCACGGATTCCCATGATCACCGTACCAGAAATGGTGTTTTGGACGGATTCAAGGTTATGCGTGCGGAACAGTTATGTTGATTCGCGATGTTGAAGTCCCAAGAATGGCGTTCTGGCACGTTTCCAGATCGTCAGGGCGCAGCAGTCAGTTTGATCCGTGGCGTGGAAATCCCGAGAACAATGTTTTGACATGCTTCAGGGTCTTCAAACGGTTGTCTTGCAAAGAGGCAGCTCCCTCAGTGGAAATGAACCGTTGTAGGGGCCTGTGAAGAGGGAGCTTGGAGGGAGGGTTAATTCCAACATCGTTGATGGCTCTTGGGTTTACACTGGTCCTCCTCCTCCTCCTCCTCCTCCTCCTCCTCCTCTTCCTCCTCCTCCTCCTACAGGCGGATGTTGGAAGAAAACTGCTCAATCAACTCAAGAAAAATCATACGTGGTTTGCAACAATCGCCTCTTCGCTTCCGACGGGCCTCGGAGGCCCCAAGATGGCTCCAAGACGGCCCAAGAGAGCCCCAAGAGGAGCCCAAGAGGGCTGCAAGAGGGCCCCAAGAGCGGCCAAGACGGCCCCAAGAGCAGCCCAAGAGAGCATCAAGACCGAATTGTTGAGCCTCCCGGGGGGCAGGTCTGAATTGAGGACCCCCCTCCTTTTGAGCTACGGGGGCCAAAGTTTGGCCCCAAGAGACCTCTGAAACCCGCCCAAAAGGTCCAAAGAGAGCCCCAAGATGGCCCCAAAAGAGCCCCAAGAGAGCCCGAAGTGGGCCTCAGAGGACCCCAAGAGAGCCTCAAGATGGCCCCAAGAGACCTCCGAGAAACTCTCACAACAACACCTCCACTCGCCTGGCGATCTGTTTCCAAGAGGGCCTCAGGAGACCCCAAGATGGCCTCCAAGATGGCTCAATATAGATCAAGCTGAGTCAAGATGTGTCAAGATAGCCTCCCGCATGATCGACTCAACTCGCCTGGGTATCGTTTTTGAATGGGCTGGTGGGGATACGCGGAGCGTCAACAAGACTTGTCAAATCATACTGTTGCTTCCTCCGCCATCATCATCCTTCTCTTCCTCCTCCACGAAATCAAGCTGGGCGCAACGCCATCCACCGGATATGCCCTTCTTCAGGAGGTCCGTGAATTGCACCCCCTCGGGGAAGGGGGTAGGAGAAGCGACGGGGAGAGGGGCGAGACAGGTAGACAAGCTAGGTGTGCTCGCGCCATATCTGACATCCTGCACCTCGTACCCATCCACTCCCATTGCCCTGATTTGCTCTCCGCGGATGCGTGTCAAATCGAACCTGGAACACCACAAAGACACCCATCGTGCTATGCGCAGTCGGAACAGGGGGCTGCGTACGTGGGAAAAGGAGGTGGCAGATGAGCAGGAGGACGAGGACGAAGGAGGAGGACGACGACGAGAAGGAGGAGGAGGAGGAAAAGGAGGAGGACGACGACAAAAAGAGGGAAGAGCAGGAGGAAACGGAGGAAGACGAGGAAGAAGGAGGACGAGGACGAACAGCAGCAGCAGAAGAGTTGGATCGGAACGAGCGGGAGGAGCAGGAGGGCCGGGGGAGGGCGGAGCAGGCGAACGGCGGGGAAGCGACAACGGCGAGGAGGGACCCGGATCCAGAGCGAGAGCGCTACTCTCTGGACGACAGGAGCGAAGCGCCAATCCTAGCATAGGGCTCACGCTGCAGGGGGAGCCCGACCAGAAGAAACCTTCCACACGAAACCCAACCCTGAGACCCCCGGACGTCCATTGATTTGCGGTGTGGGAACGTCGCGCTCTCCATCGCATAAGCAGTAAAATCCGAGAAACCCAGGGCACCCTGGAGGCAAGCAGGGTGTTTCTTGGCATGGGCTTCCACTGTACACGGGAACACCATTGTGAGATGCCGAGAACGCTCCGAGTGGAATAGAAGCATGGGCAACATCAACTTACGGAATCTGGTGTGTGTGTGTGTGTATAAGCAAATCGGAGGTTGGGGAGTGAGATCGCAGTGGAACGGAGACCCCCAACCGGGAAATCGTTTCGTTTCGTTCGTGTCGTGTCGTGCGCGCGGGCGAGGCGAAGCTGCGTGGGCGCACGAAAGGAATGAACCCGCCGTTGCTAGGGCGACGTCAAGACAAATGATTATCCCCCGCCCGCCCGACTGGCGGTGGCTCGCGGTGTCCCGCGGTGTCCCCTGGTGTCCCGCGGTGTCCCGTGGTGTCCCGTTGAATGAGATCGATAGTGTGATCGATGGTGAGATCGATAGTGAGATCGATAGTGAGATCGAAAGTGAGATCGACAGTGAGATCGATGTGGTGCCCAGAAGTGTCCCGTGGTGTCCCAAAAAATGAGACCAGTAGTGAGATCGATAGCGAGATCGACAGGTGTCCCGTGGTGTCCCGTGGTGTCCCGTTGAGTGAGATCGATAGTGAGATCGACAGTGAGATCGATGTGGTGCCCCGTGGTGTCCCGTGGTGTCCCAAAAATCCCGTGGTGTCCCGTGGTGTCCCGTGGTGTCCCGTTGAGTGAGATCGATAGTGAGACCGATAGTGAGATCGATAGTGAGATCGACAAATATCCCGTGGTGGCCCGTGGTGTCCCGTGGTGTCCTATGGTGTCCCGTTGAGTGAGATCGAGAGTGAGATCGATAGTGAGACCGATACTGAGATCGACAAGTGTCCCGTGGTGGCCCGTGGTGTCCCGTGGTGTCCCGTTGAGTGAGATCGATAGTGAGATCGATAGTGAGCTCGACAAATGTCCCGCGGTGTCCCGTGGTGTCCCGTGGTGTCCCTTTGAGTGAGATCAAGAGGGAGATCGATTGAGTCAGATGTTGGTTCCCCCCCTCGCCCCCATCCCCCCCCGCAGCCCCCTTACCACCCGAAGGGTGGTCGTATAGGTATATCCGCGGAGAGGGTTTGGCATCCTCCGCACAGAGTCAGGTGAGAAGGGAGAGCACCGCGCATATTGGGATTGTGAGAGAGGGGGAGGGAGCTAAGGGGAGGAGGAGGAGGAGGAGGAGAGGGAGGTGGAGGCGGAGGAGGAGGGAGGAGGAGAGAGGAGGAGGAGGAGGAGGGGGAGGAGGAGGAGGAGGAGGAGGAGGAGGAGGAGGGGGAGGAGGAGGAGGAGGACTGACGGAAGCCGTCTGCCCGCGAGGGGTGGGACGGCCACGCGCGGCTGGCCCACGCGCGGGCGGCGGCAGCGAGGCCCGCCATAGAGATCGCGCGGGGGGGAGGACCCCGCCACCTCCCCCGCCGCGGCGGCGGTCTCTGGCGGCGGCTGCCCGCGGCGGGCCGCTGCCTGGCGGCGCTGCTCGCCCTCAGGCGGCGGCGGCGGCGGCAGAGCTGCCTGAAGCCAGCCCTGCAGGTGCTTCCGGGCGGCCGAGAGGCCAGAGGCTGCGTGGCATCGCCGCGCTAGGTGACTTCGAGGCCCTGCTTGCGAACGCCGGCCCCCCTCATCGTCGTGGAGAATTTCTTCTGCACGTTCTTCTGCACGCTCTTCGTCGGCGGCATTCAGGTTCCAGTACTTTTCCGTCCCAGCCACGGCGTACGTCGTCGACACTGTCATCTCGGAGATGACCGAGGAGACGCGTGAGACTGCTTTGGAGAAGCTGGCCGAGTGTTGCATGATCGAGTCCGCGTTCGATGCCTTATACAGTGCTGTGCTTGCCTCCTCGTGCACGTGACTGCTTCCCTCGCGCTGCAGTTGCAGATTGTCTTAATCACTGCCGAGCGTCGTGCAGCGCTGCGTTGCGCCAGCATCTGTCAATTTGAATGCCGTGTATCGTGTAGGTCGGCGAGCGCCAGGCAGCTACCCTCAGAGTAGACCCCTCGGCGAGCGCCAGGCAGCTACCCTCAGCTACCCCTAGGACGAATGTCGCTGCAGACGCATTGGGAGATCGTGACCCTGGCTGAGCCTGTGTCCAGCACCGTGGCTAGCCTCTCACCGTCGACAGCTCGAGGCGGGTGCACTGCTTCGCCCTTCTGGATGCAGGAGGCTCTCGACCTTTCCATTTGTGGTCCAGCCATCCGTGCGGTGCCGCAGCTAGGTGGCTGGCGGGCGCCGCAGCTAGGTGGCCGGAGTCGGCCGCTCATGGAGGAAGCGGAGGAGGTGGTGTTAGAGGTGGCGGGAGGAGAGTTTCCTAGGAGGGACGTCCAGCGGTTGCTCTGCTTGGCCTATCTTAATCTGCGTGCATCATGCTGTTGTGGTGGTAGGGAGGTTTAGGGATGCACGCCGTTTTGGGCCAGCATTCGCCGACAGCAGCGGCGGAGCCGCAGCATTGTGCTGCCGTGCTCGGTGTCTGTTGAAGTCTTGAGGTTCGTGCCGCCCGAGCTCTCCAGACTGTATTCGCAACCCGTGGCCCGAACGGGCTGGTGTGGGCGCCACGCGCGCCTCGTGTGCGGAGATGCGAGTTCGCCGACAGCAGCGGCGGAACCGCAGCTTGTGCTGCCGTGCTCAGGTTCTGCTGAAGTCTAGAGCTTCGTCCCATCCGAGCTCTTCAGACAGTATTCGCGGCCCTTGGCCCGAATGGGCTGGCGAGGGCGTCACGCGCGCTTCGTGTACGGAGCTGCGAAGTCGAGATGGAGGAGTTTCATAGTGAGGAGTGGATGTTTGTGTCAGGAAGCCCGCCCCATCGCAGCGCCCCTGTGTCCGCCCCTGGAGTGGGTACGTATCCGACGGCTCGGGCATCGGTAGGTGGAATATCGGGGGCGCTGCAAGGGGGCGAGGGCGGCATGGCGCGAGCAAGCCGACTTCGCCAGCCGCTGCCGTACCTGGCTGTCAATCGTGCTCGCTTGGACTTCCTCTCGCTCGCTATCTTCCCTAGTCCTCCCTCTTGTTGCCCATCCTGTCCTTTAGCGCAGTGTCTCAAGGAGGAGGTGGAGATGGAGGTGAGCAGGATCAGGCGGAGGGGGTCGTCCATGGCTTTCGAGCGGGTCTTGGGCACGAGGATCTTAGGGTTGAGCCGCCTCGGATCGCTTCTGGCCCTGGAGGGGCTCGGTGGCAGGCGCGGACGCCGCAATCTCCCCCCCGAGCACTGCCATCTCCATCTTCACCACCTGCCACTGTCCTATCTTTCCTTGTCCCTCTCGATTGTGCTGCACTGTCCGTGGTGATGCTGTCTTGTGGAGGGAGGGTAATAGAGGGGTCTCTCGTCTTGCATCCGCCTTCCCTTGAACGAGCTGTTGGTGACTGTCGCGAGCCGCCGAGAGCTTCTGCTGTCCTGTGCAAGACACGCCTTTCTTGCTTTTGTGGCTGCTGCTGCTGCTGCTGGTGTAGCGGCCGCCTCTGACGCTTCGGGCCCCTGAGACCCAAAGGCTTGCCGAAGAGAAGGAGGGACGGAGGATGCTGGAGGCGAGGAGGGGGAGATGGACGACGTTGGAGCAGGAGGAGGAAGAAGAAGAAAAATGCCTTGTGATGGGGGTTGGAGGAGTGGGTTGGAGCAGGGAGCTAAAGGAGGGCTCGGGCAGGAGGGAGGAGAGATAAAGTGATTTGCGGAGGCTTTCTCTGGATCCCTGTACCTTCTCCAATGTTCCTGCAGATTTCAACAAGATGGAGGAGGGTGATGATGATGATGATGGTGATGATGATGAGGATGGTGATGATGATGATGATGATGCTGATGATGATGCTGATGATGATGATGATGATGATGATGATGATGATGATGGTAATGATGATGATACTAATGATGGTGATAATAATGATGATGATGATGATGATGATGATGATGATGATGATGATGATGATGATGATGATGATGGTGATGATGATGATGATGGTGGTGGTGAGGATGATCATGTTGATGGTGATGATACTAAGAATGATGATATTGATGATTATGATGATGATGAGGAGGAGGAGCAGGAGGAGGAGGAGCAGGAGCAGGAGGAGGAGGAGAGAAGGAGGAGAGATGAGGAGCTTAGAGGAGACAGCAAAGGAGACGAGGAGAAGGTGGAGGAGGGACAGGAGGCTATTCAGGGAGGAGGAGGGAGGAGAGAGAGGGAAAGGGGGGGACGGGAGGGAAGAGGAGGGAGAGGAGGACGAGGAGGGGGAGATCCAGACATCCGCATGGTCGTCTGGACCTCTCGGCACCATTGCCACAGCAATGTGTATCGCCGCAGGTCGGTCATTGGGGCCCGCAGCCGGCCTCGCAGGCCGAAACAAGCGAGCGAAACGTTGTCGGTGGGCGGCGGCCGGGCGGGCAGACGGGACGATGAAGCGCGAACTGAGCACACAGCGAAGGCAAGCACAACAAACTTGTTGCGTCGCAGCGCGGCGGAGGCAGTCCGCACGCGCGCTCAGGGAATCCCGGCGGCGGTGTTGCGAACGTCCCCGATGCGAGCGGGGAGGGAGGGGCAGGAGAGGAGCGGCCGCAGGTAGAGGGGAAACAACTAGTGCGCTCACGCAGCGGGGACCGCAGAGTGAGCGCATGAGTTCTTTCCCCTCCGCCCGCCGCCAAGCTGGTGCCAAACAAAGCAAACAGACTGATAAACAAAAATGTCTACCCCGCACCCCCACCCCCGCGACGCCTGGAAGTCTGCAAATGAGAGGGAGGAGGAGGAGGAGCAGGAGGAGGAGGAAAGCCTCTCTATTCTTCATCTTGCCGAACGAGGACTCCTCCGTGACGGTGGCTATCAGCTCCTCCGAAGCCTCGATCCCCAAGAAGTTCGCAACCTGCCTCGTCGCCGAGGTGGGGTCCTGCCCTTCCAATGTTTGCATCCTGTCCTCGTCATCCGCATCACCCCTCCTCCTCCTCCTCCTCCTCCTCCTCCTCCTCCTCCTCCTCCACGATCATCACGATCAGCAGCATCATCGTCCTCATCATCATCAGCATAAGCATCACCATCACCACCACCATTACCATCATCATCATCATCAGCATCAGCATCAGCATCATCATCATCATCATCATCATCATCATCATCATCATCATAAACAGTATCTTCATCGTCAGTATCATCATCATCATCATCAGCATCATCATCAGCATCATCATCATCAGCATCATCATCAGCATCGGCATCATCATCAACAGCATCATCATCATCAGCATCATCATCATCAGCATCATCATCATCATCATCATCATCATCATCATCATCATCATCATCATCATCATCATCATCATCGCAATCGTCATCATCGTCATCATCATCATCGTCTTCGGAATTGTCATCATCACCACCACAATCATCAGCATCACCCTCTTCCTCGTCCTCTTCACCATCATCATCATCATCAGCAGCACCATCATCATCTCCATCACCACCATCACCATCACCATCACAAACATCATCATCAGCATCAACAGCATCGTCGCCAGCATCATCATCATCATAATCAGAGTCGCCATCACCATCAACATAATCATCAGCAGCATCGTCATCAACATCATCATCATCATCAGCAGCAGCAGCATCATCATCATCGCCATCACCATCACCAATACTACCAGCATCATCATCATCACCATCATCATCACCGTGACCATCAATATCATCAACATCATCAACATTCGAACTACCCTCATCACCAACAACAACCACAACAACAACAACAACAACAGCATCATCATCATCCCGTGATTGATCCCATAATTGTTCTTACGCTTACTTGCCATGCCTCTCACTTTCTCGCTCTCTCTCTCTCTCTCTCTCTCCCTGTCTCTCTGTCGTCCTCGTCCCTGTCCCCCTCCACTCCTCCTCCCTTACCCTCCCGCCTCCTCCCCCATCACCCCACCCGACGCGCGCGAGGACAGGCGGGGGCAGGAGGAGGAGAAAGAGAAGGAGAGGGCCTCCAGAGAGGAGGACGGGGGGGAGGAGCTGCTTGCTGCAAGAGCCGCCCAGAGTGCATGCGTTCGCTGCGCTCGTGCCCGCGCGCAGGCACTCCACGACGCATGGCGCGAAGACCCTGTTGTCCTCTCGGCTCGCGCAAGGCCGCATGCCAGGGGTGGCCAGCAGAGCCCTTGCGACCAGTCGGGCCTTCTGGGGGTAGGGTCGCTGCGTCGGCCGGACATCAGCACCTGGTGTCCTGGCGCGCCGAGAGAGAGAAGAGGAGAATGACCAGGAGGAGGAGGAGGAGGAGGAGGAGGAGGAGGAGGAGGAGGAAGGGGAGGAAGGAAAGGAGGATGAGGAGGAGGATGAGGAGAACGAGTGCCCTGAAAGGACGACGAGCACAACGACGACGACGACGACGACGACGCCGCCGCCGTCGTCGCCGACGCCGAAGCCGACGCCGACGCCAACGCTGGCGCCGCTGCCGCCGCCGACGCCGACGTCGGCGGCGGCGATTACGACAACGGCGGCGGCGGCGGAGATGGGGACAGCGACGCCGAAGATGGCGGCAACAGGGACACGCCGACAACGACGACGACGACGACGACGACGACGACGACGACGACGACGACGACGACGACGGCGGCGGCGGCGGCGGCGGCGGCGACGATGACGACGACGACGCCAGCGACGACGACGACGACGACAACAACAACGACAACGACGGCGGCGGCGGCGGCGACGACGGCGACGACGGCAGCGGCGGCGGCGAGGACAACTTCACGACACCGCCCTCCACCGAACTGCGCGAAGCTCGTGTCGCCTGGCCGCACGATCTGCTCTCGAACATGCTCCGTCCATCCACCCTCCATGAGCTCCTCTGGTGGCACGTGCCAATCTCCCCAATACTATCCAGTATCCGCGAACAGCCTGCCGCATACTACCCAACCGCTGCACCAGAATCACCGTGAGGAAACCGTTGGGCATCGCCACCGTGAGCGCAGCGGGGTCATAGAAATCCACGGGCCCTGAACGAAAAGCCCGCACTTCCTTCCCATGGCGCAACTGGCCACGAGTCTGTCCCTGGCACATGGCCAGGCGCCCGAGGGACGTCGACTGGAGATGCCGCCTCGCCGCTACTGCAGCCCCGCCTGCATTCTCCACTTTCTGATACCTGCGCGCTGGACTGCCCGCCGCCTTCCAAGCGTCGGCGTCGAAGTCGCACGGCGTGTCATCGAACACCTGACCTGCGGCATGGTGCTTAAGCAGGTCGATCACATCTGCATTTTACCGGGGCGACTGGATCAACTTCCTGGCCGTGTGTACCAAGTCTTCCACATTGCGCACGTAGAGAGCGTGGGGGAAAGTGTTCGTCTTGCTTGTGCCAGCATCCTGGCCAAACCACTGCCAACAGGGGCCAGCGTCCTGGCGAAGCCCAAGACTCTGACTCCCGGGGCCCCGCGCACGACCCCGGGCTTCCCGGAGGGCCCCCTCGCCTGGCCCCGATGCCCAGGCCCCAGATGCATGCAGTTAGGGCCGCCGGGGCCAGCGGAGCCAGAAGAGCCGCCACCAGGGGCGCCAGGAGTGTCAGGGACCTGGGCCTGGCCTGGCTCGCGGGGGCCCGGCCCCGCTTGCTGTCCGTGCCCTCCTTCCCTCTCGCTCCCGTGGGCGAACCTGCTGCCCGGCCGCCCTGGTCCTCGCTCTGCTGGCGCATCCTTCGGGCCTGGCAGCACATGCGTCTGGACTCCTCTCGCACGGTGCTCAGGTTCCCCGCGGTGCTGCCGAAGACCTCCCGTACCCTCTTCTGGCCTCAAACGCGAACTCCTTAGTGACACAGTTGATGGCCTCCAACATTTCACCCTGCAACTCCAGGCCTGAGGTGTCGAGCAGTGGACACAAATCGAACAGCGCGTCCATCTCGGCGTCGCTCTCAGGAAACTGGCAGAGGTTCATCGCCGCCATCGGCTGTGCGGCCTCTATCCCCGCATCATCATGCCGCAACCCTCTCTCCTCGTTGACTCGCTTGAGGACAAGGACCGCGTCGTTCTCGCAGCTGGCCGCGACGTCCGCCGCAGCACGCACCTTGGCCCGAGCCTTAGCAAGCCACTCCTCACACTTGACCTGGTACGCCGTCGCATTCTCGAATGCGTTGCGACTGCGCCACTGTGCATCCAAACAACTCTTGTACACCGCCGATGGGGATCCAACGATCTTGGGCTGCAGCGGCGACAGCTTCTGGCGGAGGACCGTGAGAGCTGACTGTCCATCACCCTCTTGGCCGAACTTGTCGAGCAGCACCAGCGATGTCGCCGCTGGCTCTTCATGAGCCACACCTTGGGTTCCACCGTCCTGTGCACCACCTCCTCTGCGGCGACGCCACGGCTGGCGGACCCACTTTGACGCATCAAACATGTCGCTCTTTTCGCTAGACTCCGCACACACACACACACACACACACACACACGTGGGCTCACGCCAAGGCACTGGAGGCATCCCGAGGCACGAGCCACACTGGACACAGAAGGCGTTCCGCTTGAAGTCCCACACACAGCAACAGCCAGGCACTTGCGGTAGTTTTGTAGGGGAGCGAAGACTGACATAAACATAACAACTCGGAGGTCCGCTCGGATTTCTATGATCGGCGCTGGAGGCGCTGCCAGGGGGTCCAGCGCGGATACGAGAAATCCGCGCGGACCTCCGAATTTATATGTTTGTGTCATTGTTTGTTCACCTGCACATAGCCACAGCCCAGGCGTTTGCGATAGTTTGGCGGAACGCTGGAAGGCCTTCATCCGCATGCCAAGGCACCGTGGCAGCACCGAGCAGAAGATCTGCTCCCCGATCGAACGGGCGCAGGTGTCTGCCAGGGCTGGACGTGGCTGACGCGAAAGCCTGTCGGGCACAAGGCCATTGCGCTGCCGCGGACTAGCGGTATCCGTGTGGTCCCCTATGAACCTCAAAGACCTGAGCCAACATGGTTACGGGGAGAAGGAGGAGGAGGGGGGGGAGGAGGAGGAGGAGGAGGAGGAGGAGGAGGAGGAGGAGGAGGAGGAGGAGGAGGAGGAGGAGGAAGAGGAAGAAGCGGAGGCGAGGACGAGGACGAGGACGAGGAGGAGCGGGAGGAGGAGCCTCGAGGAGGAGGAGGAGGAGCAAACGAAGGCGTGGCGGCAGCAGGAGCAGGAGCAGCCCCCGCGGGCGCCCCCGCGGGCCGCCGGCACCCCCCGCGGGCGCCCCCGGCGCGCCCCGCGGGCTCCTTCTTCATGTCCTCGAAGGTCAGCCACAGTCCGGCTCGCCCCCCCCCCCTGGAGGCCGACGCGCGCGAGGGCGACCCACACGCTCACACACACACACACACACGAGGCACACACACGAGGCACACACACACAAACGCACACGCACGCGCGCACACACACACAAAGCACACACACACACACACGCACACACACACGCACACACACACACACACGCACACACACACAAGCACGCACGCACACGCACACGCACGCACGCGCGCGCAAGCGCACGCGCGCACACACACACACACACACTTTTGGTGGTCGCGGCCTCGCGCGCAGCGACGAGGCGTAGCAAGTCAGGTACCCGCCCCGCGCAGCCCCGCGGGCACACACACTCACACAGCCCTTACTGCTGACCCGCCTCCTGATCCAAGCTCTTCCTCCCCTCTCCCTGCCTCCCTCCCATTCCCACTCCCTTCTCCTCCCTCCTTCCCCTCTTCTCCCACCTCGCACTTGACCTGGAGGCGCCCTCTCCAGGTGCTCCGCATTCGGTGCGCCGGCAGGCATGATGGATATCCCGTCGTTCTCCTGCGCTACTGGATACCACTCTCTGTGCCACCTCCAGAAATTGCCAGGCCACATGTCGGATGTTGTACCCACTGGGTTGAAATCCTCAGTGAGAAAGGAGTTCACAAACTCGTCCAACGGCATCTCTAAGTCCTCGTATGTCTTCATGTGGTCCCATAGCGACAGCACCGCGTCCTCGGAAACAACATGTCAACTGATAGATTTCTAGATGCAGATCAGCAAAACTGAGTTCAGCAGCCCCTTTTCGAAACCGCCTTTTACAAAGAAGCAACACGCCAACTTGAACAAATCTCTACAGTGACTCCACAGTAGCCACATTGGTCGCAAACATCAGTCAATCATGCCTCGAACCATACTCAATAGGCGCCGATTGCAGATGCCTGCCGGCACCTGATCACAAAGGTTTGATTATGTCTGGCCCCGGCACAACCCCAAGACACGGCAACATGCCAGTACTGTCAGCCAGGAATCGAGCACCACGTTGCCAACTGCCATCGCATCAAGAACCAGCACTCGGTGCTTCGTGGAAGGGCTGGCCGAGAACGTTCCCCCCAAGAGCAGAAGATCCTCGGGATCCCCCCGCACACACAAACCAACAAACTACTCCGCTCCAACCACATCTCGTCTTTTCGAAGCAAACTGCAAACGTCCAGGACGGGAGTACGGTCAGGTCAGGCATGTCCCCCTACAGGGGGACATGCCTGACCAAACCGTTAGACACGAACGATAAAAAGAAGTCGGAACATGCCCCCACATGGTCAAAAATGAACCCAAAAATCGTCACCAGACCATTTTGGCTTGACCACTGCTGACTACAGTCGAGGCTTTGACCTAAGGAACCCTAAATAAGGAACGAGGTCCCGATTTTCCATAAGCTGAACTTCGATTTCGTATCGAAAACCTGAGGGAAACCCAAGGCAAGCTGCGAAACAACTAAGGAACACGGAGCCCCTCCCCAACGAAAAGGGTTCCTTCTTCAGGGCCCCGACTGTATCCCCCCCGTGGACGGGACGGGCCCGAGGTCAGAAGGCGGCCGGCGTCCGTTGCGGAGCGCCGACGCCGACCGCGGCGCGCCCCGGAGGCCGGCGCAGAGCGAGCCGCGCGGCGCCCCGCCCCCCCCCCGTGGCTGCAAGTCGCGCCCGTCCCTCCGCAGGGGGAAGATTGAAAAGCAGTAGTCCAAGAACAGTCGGGGGACTATCTTTTGGGTACAGTCGGGGCGTTGACCTAAGGAACCCTAAACAAGGAGCGAGGCCCCGTTTTTCCTAGAAGTTACACTTCGATCTCCCATGGAAAACCTCATGAAAACCTCAGGCAAGCTGTAGAACAATCAAGGAGCACCGAGCCCCTCCCCAACGAAAAGGGTTCCTTCTTCAGCGCCCCGACTGTATTGTTGTGCATGTGTTGCACATTTTTTGAGCCGTTTGAACTTTTCGCCCAGGGGCATGTTTGTCCATGGTTTGCACATGCTTGCGGTATTTTGTAACTTTTCGTCCAAAGTCCCCCTGTTGGGGGGACCGGCCCGACCTAACCCCCTGATTGTGAAGGACGGAGGGGCGCCCCTCCGTGAAGGGGGTCGGCCCTCGAGGAGAGACCGCTGCGCCCGCCGGTCCAGCTCTGCCCTCTCCTCTTGGCGTCCCCCTTCTCCCCTCCCCTCTCCCCTTCCCTCTCCCCTTCCCTCCCTTCTCCCCTCCCCTCTCCTCTCCATCCCCTCCCTCTCCTCTCCTCTCCCCTCTCCTCCCCTCTCCCCTGCCCTCCCCTCCTCTCCTCTCCCTCTCCCCTGCCCACGGCCCCTTCTCCCCTCCCCTCTCCTCTTGGCGTCCCCCTCCCTGGCCATCGCTCGGACGTCCCTTCCCTGTGTTTTTGTCGCTTTTGTGCGTGGTTTTTCTTTTCCGCAGGAGGATCCAGGATGCTCCTGAATCATCCCCTCCGAGAAAAAGTGCACTCGTCCGAGCGGTACCAAGCTCCCTTCCCACCCCATCTCATGCCTTCCGCGTCTCCGCTCCCCATCCTCCCTTCCCCTGGGACGCACAGAGACATACTAGTACTATCTGTTCTCCGTGGAGGCGCGCTTCCGACCCAAACGTATAGTATACCCATCTTGTAGTATGTCGTTTCCCGAGCGGTGTGGCAAGAAAGCGCCCGCCACGACGCGTATACTAAACGATTTCTCGGTGCGCGCGTCGCCCCTGAGGGGGCGACGCACATGTAGTATAAGTATGTTAGGGGTGACGCCGATCTCCCCTCCCCTCTCCTCTTGGCTTCCCCCTCCCTTCCCGCACCATCTCCTGCCTTCCGCTCCTCCGCTCCCCATCCTCCCTCCCCTCACGCAGTTCTCGCTCGGAGCTCGCTTCCGCATTCTCTGCGGGCTCCCTGGCTTCGCCTCCGGGCGGGCGGCTTGCGCGGACCAGCTCGGAAGCGTGCCGTGCGCCTCTGTAAACCCCGCAGCGTGGGATGGCAGGTCTCTTGCCTCTTGGTCCTCCTCCTCCCATTACAAGATCCCCCCCTTCTCCCCGAGCCCTCCTCGCTCCGCTCCACTCCCCCTCTACCGTCCACCTCCTCACAGCGCGGTGGGGGGTTTTGTCGGGGATGGACAGACCCACCTGTAGTAAAACGTGGTTTAGTGAAAACGACCTGAGGCCCAAACCTGGCGGGCGCAAGCCTGGAAAATAACGGCCACGGCGCCATCTCGAGAACCGAAAACGGACAATTCACTAATCGACGTGTCACTGTTGAGGGGTTATGTCCACCCCCGATTTTGGGGGGAAACTCCGCTCAAGATCGGTCCCCGGGCGCCCTTCCCAAGGCCCACCCTGGCCACATGCCTCGAGCCGCGTCCGCGCGTCCAGCAAGGGCCGACGCGAGCCTCGGTCCAGCCTCCCTCATCTTCTCGGTCCCGTCGCGCCCTGGTCTGCGTCGAGTCCGTGTCGAATCCATGTCGGACTCGTCGAGTCCGTGTCGAACTCCGCAAATGCCGCGTCGAGCTCGCTCCGAACCCACGTCGGGCACAAAAGAGGACACCGACGAGGTCCCCCGAAGATGCAGCGTGACCTCCCGACAACGTCGTCGTGGCCGGGAGGTTGGATGTGAAGGGGCCGGCGCCGGCGGCTGCGTTGTCGCCATCGTCGTCGTCGTCGTCGGCAGCATCGCGGTCGTCATCGTCGTCCTGGTGGTCGTCGTCGTCGTCGGCGTCGTCCGTCGTTCGTCGTCGTCGTCGTCGTCGGCGGCGGCGTCGGCGTCGGCGTCGACGTCCGCGTCCGCGTCGGCGACGGCGTCGGCATCGGCGGCGTCGCCGACGCTGACGCCGACGCTGACGCCGACGCTGACGCTGACGCTGAAGCACGAAGAGCCCAGACCACGCATTACTGGATTTTCTTGGGTGTGGCGCGCGCCTCCTGGGGAGTCCTGCGTGCTCGCGTATGTTGCCGCGTGCTTCGTCAGGAGGAGGAGGAGGCAAGAGGGCCCAAGACAGGCCAGGGGAGTCCCAAAGGGCCAGGAAGATGGTCCAAGAGAGTCCGTAAACGGCCCAAGAGCGCTTCAAGATGCCCAAGGTGGCCTCCAGACGGCCCAGGAGGCCCGCCAAGATGCACCATGAAGGCATCAAGAGGCCCCCTGCGAGGGCCCCTGGAGGTCAAAATGACTGATGCTCCTCTGGTTATAGCTCTCGCCTTCTCAAATTTCCGACGCTCCACGACGGCCCCAGAGGCCCCAAAGATCGCCCCAAGACGGCCCACGAGGCGCACAAGAGGGCCCCCAGACGGCCCAAGAGGGCCCCAAGACAGCCCAAGACGCCCCCAAGGCGGCCCCACGAGGGTCCCAAGGGGGGAACTCATTCCAGAGGAGACCGGAACTTGCCGTTGGTGGCTGAGTCATTACGACGCGGCTGTGCTCTGAATCGAAGGTCGTCAGGTGAGGAGACCATCGAGAAAAAATGAGCGCTGCAAGGACAAGACTGCAGAGCGAGATTCGGCACGCTGGGAAGCAAGAGACCAGCGGAGAGCTGGCCGAGCGGACTTCTGGTCGAAGTCCCCTTGGTACTACGCAACGTGCAGAGACAACAGAGCAAGGTCTTCCTTGGGGTTTCTTGTGACAATGATCATCTTGACGTCCTTGCCTATGGCATCCATGCCACCTTGCCAGAGCTTCACACCTGAGCCAATCCTCTCCTGACTGACTACAAACCGCCTGGAACCATCGAACGACGCGCATAGGCTTCCGACCATGCGGAGAAACATCACTGCAAACAAATAAGTCGTATCCACCTTCGTCACTCCACTACCAGGCCTTTCTTACGCGACGTCAACAAGCATACAGCATACATGCGGACGGCCTGTCGGACTGTCGGTCAATTAATCGGTCGATCACACAGACGAGCAGGCACACGAAAAAGAATAGTCAGACAGAAAGCCATGCAGTCAGCCAGTCAGGCAAAAGGCATACACTCGAACAGACGACACAGAGACGCGCACTTCATAGAAACAGCGTTCGCGCGTAGTCACGTGGACATGCTCTTGAAACTGTATGCGTTTCGCGTGCGTTGGAGCTGCCTCTGCAGATGCCGACAATTTCGAGCAAACATGACAAGAACACCTGGATCGTGGGATGGAGGCAACTGGCAGCAAGGGTAGAAGAAGAAACAACAGCATAAACATGAACCTTGGCGCTCGGCGCGGATGTCTTGGATCGGCGCTGGAGGCGCCGCCTGGGGAGCCCAGCGCAGATCCAAGAAATCCGCGCTGAGCGCCAAAAATTTTTGTTTATGGTGTTTTTCTTCGACAGGGGGGAAAGACACTGTTGAGCGCCTTGAGCGAGTTCTACACAAAGAGGGAACTCCTTTCGACCGATCGGTCGACGGCAGCTCGACGAGAACCCTCGGATCCCTCTGGGGCTCCATCTTCAAGACTGCACGCGTATCAACTAGCAGACCACGCCGGAGCGCGACATATCAGATCGGGCCGATATAAAGGATAAGTTCAATGCACTACAATCGACCCGTGTCATGAGGATGCACGATAAGGATGAAGGGGGTTGAAAAGTCATGTCACGTCGATACTTTGCGAGCGGGGCGCGGCCAGCGGAAGCGGACAAGGATGGACCGAGGAGGCATGGATAAGGGTACCCTTGGGAAGGTTGCCCATCTTTGCTATACGGGTCGGCTGTAGGTTCAATGCACTAGTCCCGATATGTTCATTAAACTTAGCTCCCGCTTGTCTGGGAGTCATCTGTGGAATATCTGGTTGCTACACTTCTGTCCCACAACTTCGCCTGCTCCCATGCCCTCCTGTTCATCCCTCTCGCGCCATGGCGTATGTGCGTCTTGTATGTCATCGGGCTGATCTTCTCGGACAACCACCAGGAGAACTCCTCGTCGGTCTTGTCATAAGCTCGAATGTCGCGCTTGGGCTTTGACTTGCTGTCCTTGTCCTTATCCTTGCCCTTGCCCTTGCCGTGTTTGTCCTTGTCCTTGTCCTTGTCCTTATCTTTGTCCTTATCCTTGTCTTTGTCCTTGTCCTTGTCCTTATCTTTGTCCTTGTCTTTATCCTTGTCTTTGTCTTTGTCCTTGCCGTCCTTGCCCTTACCCTTTCCGAAAAAATCCGCCTGCACCGCCACTGAGCCCGCCGGGAGATGGGACAGCAGCTGGTGCATCGCCTCAACCTCATCGAGGCGGCCACAACCGGATGTGCTTGGCGCGAGATGCCCGATACCGCGCTGCCCCCGCGCGCTTGGCGCAAGCAGCCCAACACCTCCATGCTACCAGCAACACCCATGCGTGCACCCTATACGTCGAAGACGAAACGATGGTAAGCGCTTTCTTATTCGGCGTTTCGACATTGGGCGGAAGGGTGGGGGAGGGGGGGGGGGGGGGCTCTGGCTCCAGACCTCTGCTTAATGCGACTGTTTGCAGCAGCGCGCCCCATGGCGGACGGAGACTCCACCTGCTCGAAACAGGCGCCAGAAACAGCCGAGAACTACGCCACGCGGGGGTGGGGCACGAGGGCCCGCGACGAGCGGCAAGACAATGCATAAGAGAACGATCGCGCGTGCAACCGACGGGGCCTCTGCCTGTGGAAGCGCGAGGGCCCGCCTGGGGGGTCCCTCTGCTGGCTGTCCCCCCCTCCACGGAGGAGGAGGAGGAAGAGGAGCAGGAGGAGGAGGAGGAAGAGCAGGAGGAGGAAGAGGAGGAGGAGGAGGCGGAGGAGGCGGAGGAAGAGGAGCAGGAGGGGAGGAGGAGGAGGAGGCGGAGGAGGCGGAGGAAGAGGAGCAGGAGGAGGAGGAGGAGGAGCGAGGCGAGGCAGGCGGGCGGGCCTGCCTGCCGCGGGCAGACGCGGGCCTGCAGTCGACCCGCACAGCACAGAGGAGCGAGCTTTTGATGGGCCTGTGTTCCACCACCACCACCACCACAAGTTGGAGGGGGAGGGGGTCCTCCTCCTCCTCCCCATCCATCCTCCTCCTCCTCCTCCTCCTCCTCCTCCTCTCCTCCTCCTCCTCCTCCTCCTCCTCCTCCGTCCTCCTCCTCCTCTCCTCCTCCCCCTCCTCCTCCTCCTCCTCCTCTTCGTCCTCCTCCTCCTCCTCCTCCTCCTCATCTTCGTCCTCCTCCTCTTCGTCCTCCTCCTACTTCCCCCCTCCAGCGTATGGTGGTGATGGTGGAAAACAGGCCCATCGGCTTTCCAAGGTCGACCTCGGCCGCTTTCGTTGGCCGCGCCCTTCTGTCGATTTCGCAATGTGAGATCTCCTGGGAGGCCCTCGCCGCCACGGACGGATTCGCCTCGAAATCCTGATCAGGACGCAGCTTGAGAGAGGTCCGAGGCGTCGCGGTATCTGTACAGTCAGCCCGCATACTACGGATAAGCAACTGTCCAAGGCTGACCTTGCATCCTTCCCCTTCGGCCCAATCTTGGCCGCTTTCGTGGCCCCTGCTCGGCGGCGAGCGAGGGGTGGAAGTGAGAAGGACAACCTTCCCAGAAGGCTCCTCTCAGAAGGCTCGGAAGTCCCCCAGCCTTCTGAAAGTTTCCTCTCCCCGAAGACACGGAAAAACCTCTCAGAAGGTGCGAGGGCTTCTGAGAAGTCCCGCCGCCTTCTGAGAAGGCCTTCCCCTTCTCATGTCCCCCCCTCGCTCCGCGCCGACTTGCGTCCTCATCGCGAATCCTTGGTACACGGGCTGACTGTACCTCGGGCGGCTGGGAGTGAGGCCGTGGCCTCAAGCACTGGGCAAAGAGTTCGCGACTGCAGAAGGAGGAGGGACAGTTTCAGGCAGGTCGCTCTGAGACTCTCCTCTCGGCCCCCCTCGCGCCGCGGCCCTGGAGAGAGAGTGATCTGCGCCCAGCCTACTGTACATGGGGCCCAAGGGCACACCACTGAATGGACATGACTCCCAAGACTCCCCCCTGTTCTTCCATACTGCCTGGCCTGTCGTCTTCCCCCTCCACTTCCCAGATCCCCCACTTTCTCCTGGGAATCGACGATCCGTTGTGCCCGTGAGAACCTTCCCTCCTTTTGGACGCCCGAAATGGCTGAGAAAGAATGGGCACAATGCCCAACAACAGATGTTGTCCCAAACCAACAGCGGCCGCTGTTGTGCAGGCAGCCTTCTGCCTCGAATGGACACAGGCCGCGGCGGCGTGGACAGCGAGGCCTGTTCAAAATGAACCAGATCCGCTGTTGGGCACTGTACCCATTCTTTCCGTACCCATTTCGTTCGTGCAAACTCCTGATAAAATGCACGCCTGTGCCGATGCTGACCCGGCACAGCCCGGGCCCAGGGTCGGCGCGACCACCATGCCAGGCTTAGGTCGGGCGTGCTCTCCTACACGCGGATCGTGGACGAAACATAGAACACAGCCCCAAAATGCGCAAAACTACAGTGCGGGCGCGGCCGCAAGAAACCCTCCCAAGAAACCCAACCCTGAGAACCCGCGCGCGAGGTGCACCTGAGGGGAAACCCGGAGCACCCTGAACGCAGCAGTTCCTTCAAAGGCCGCGGGAAGTCACCGCGCGGCGCGCGGAGCGAAGAAACCCAGGATGCCCTGACGAAAAGCATATGGTCTCTTGATGCGCGCCCCCACTGTAGAACATGGCCCCGAAATGCGCAAAACGAGTCGCAGAATCGTCCCCTGACGATTTGAACTGTGTTTGGGCATTCATCCTGAAATTTGGGGGACACGCCCGACTTTTTTAATGCCAGGCAGGCAGGCACGCATCGACCCTGGGCCTGGGACTGGCCTTGCCAGCCTCGGCGCAGGCGTGCAGTTGCCGACGCCCCTCCGCCGCCCGAGGTCTCGGGGATCCTGGAGATATCCAGAGATTCAAAGAATCGTCCCAAGACGATGTGTTATACTATGTAATATGTATGCTTCAACTGTATGAAATGACAGAATATACATAGTGGCATGTATTAAAACACAACATGCTAAACTAAAACCTAATAATATTAACAATAAAAACAATACGACACAATAAAGTACAATGAAACATAATAAAATGGAATATACTATGAAACACGATGATAGAATAAGACATAATAGAGCATACTACAATATGATATCATGTACACTGATATGATGTATGAGAAATTGTATATCATGATACAATGCATTACAAGTCTGAGATGTATCAAACGAATATGGTTTAACACATGATGATAAAATACCATGTACTGTGATGACATAGAATATGATAAGACAGAATGGATGTAATCTAGCATGTATACATATATATATATATATCATAATATAGTACCATGAAATATGGAAGATCTGCGATGTAGCAAATATAATATATCATGATATGACACCTAATATGGTGTCATATAAAATAATATATTCATAGATATGTAATGTAATACAATAAAAAGGGAATGCAACATAATATAGTAGAATAAAATACAATATGCTATACTATGATACACTATAATATAATACTGTATGCCATATGTATATATATATATATATATATATATCACAATACAATGTCTTACAATGCACTATGATACGATATGATATAATATAGGGTAATCTGTTATATAAATATATATAGAGAGAGATTCCTCATGTAGAAGGACACGCCCGAAAAAAACTCCATATGTCGACCGGGCTCCGAGCCAGGAGCATCGATCCTCGCCCCTCGAGGGCCCGATCCTCGGCGTCAGGACGCCCTGCGCCCCGGCGCCCGAGATGCTTGGAGGACGCCCTCGAGCGGCCCCTCCGCGGCAGCTTCGGTCGTCGTCGTCGCTAGCAGCGTACCGCTGGACACTCACCCTCACCATCACACCACCAGCACAACCATCATCGAATCATATCGTCGCCAGAATCCTCCTCCTCCTCCTCCGCATCCTCCCCCTCCTCATATTACATCATCATCCTCATCCTCATCATCATCATCATCATCATCATCATCATCCTCAGCATCATCATTACCATCAGCATCATCATCATCATCATCATCATCATCACCACCACCACCGTCATCGGCGGCAGCATCATAATCGTCATCAGCATCCTCATCCTCATTATCATCATCATCAGCATCAGCATCACCATCACCATGACCATCCTAAACATCATCATCTCATAATCGTCATCGCTGCCATCATCATCATCATCATCATCATCATCATCATCATCATTATCATCATCATCATCATCATCACCATCAGCAGCAGCAGCATCACCATCATCAGGAGCATCGTCACCATCATCATAATCATTGCCATCATCATCGTCATCATCAATAACAGCGGCATCATCCTCATCATCATCAACATCAACATCATCATCACCATCCGTCATCGTCATCATCACCGCCACCACCATCAGCAGCAGCAGAATGATCATCATCATCACCACCATCAGCATCATCATCGGCAGCAGCATCATTATCGTCCTCACCATCAATCATTATCATCATCATCATCATCATCATCATCATCATCATCACCATCAGCATCACCATCACCATCATCATCATCATCATCATCATCATCATCATCATCATGATCAACATCATCATCATCATCATCATCATCATCATCATCATCATCATCATCTTAGAATCGTCAACGTTGCCATCATCATCGTCAGCATCACCACCATCATCAGCAGCATCACCACCATCAGCAGCATCACCACCATCATCAGCAGCATCAGCATCATCATCGGCATCATCATTATCATAATCATCCTCATCATCATCATCATCACCATCCACCATCATCGTCATCCTAAATCGTCCTCATCACCATCATCACAATCACCATCATCGATCGGCATCGTCGCCAGCGCCACCCGTCACCACTCACCGTCGGCCCACCACCACCACCACCGTCGGCGCCAGAGGGGGCGGACGCCCTGGGCCGCCAGGCGCTCGCGCTCGAGCTTGCCCTTGCCCCCGTCGTCTTTGCCCTTCCCTCGTGGCCGCTCTTTAGTCGCACAGGGCGGCGCCGCGAGTTCTCTGCGGGGGAGGGGGCATCCCAGCTGGGACTCTCGGGGGGGGGGGAGGAGGCGGGGAAGGGAAGGGAGGAGGGAGGGAAGGGAAGGGATGCGGGGGGGGGAGGGGTGACCCACCAGAGCTCGCAGACGAAGTCAGGCTGCTCGCAATTGACATCCTCAAGAGACACGCTCTAGCGGTCCACCAGAGCAAGGCCCGGGCATGGTCGGCGGGGTGGCGCGACCAGCTGTCAGCCACCGCCCAGACGCGCTGGGTGGACCACCGCACCTGCTTGGGAAACGCGCCCCCCTGGATCCAACAGGAGGGGGAAAAGATACTCCGAACTCCTTATTAATCAGACGGGGGGGACACACGTGAAAACGCGACGCGGCCAACCCCCCCTGGCACCACCCCCGCGCCCCAGAGGGGGAGGGAAACGAACCCCAGACCCCCCTTGGCACCCCCGCGGACGCACCGCGGCCAACCCCCGCGGGCACTCCAAGAGAGGGGCGATTCTTAAGCGATCCAGAGTAATCGTCCACGCCGGCTTGGACGGGGTCACAGCCGTGGCCAAGGCAACGGCATTCGCCTCTCCGTCTGCAGGAGCTGCCGCCGGCGGGCCTCCGTGCCGAGGGCGCCTTCTCTCTGCTGCAGACCCTTCGCCTGCGGATGCTCGGGTGTTGCTAGAAGTGCCCCTGGCCCAAGGTGCCCCCAGCTTCGCGCTCCGTTTTGGAGCCCCTGGGGCCCTCTGGGCCTCGTGAGGGGTGCCCTGGAGGCCGTCTGGGTCACCCTGAGAATCCTGGGGGCACCTTGGGCCAGGGGTACTTCCAGCAACACCCGAGATGCGTCGTGCTCCACCTCCGTGCCAACCTGCACGGGGCCCGGCCGGAGCTGCCGGGCCGCGTGCTCCCTCGGCTGCCTCCTGGCGCACCCCTGCACCCGGCCCCCGCGCCTCCGCGCCGCGCGGCGCCCTCGCAGGCGGCGGGTGCTCCCGCGCCTCGGCTGCCCTGAGGCGCCCGCCGCCTACGCCGCCAGACTGTGCCCTCCTCCTCCTCCTCCTCCTCCTCCTCCTCCTCCTCCTCCTCCTCCTCCTCCTCCTCCTCCTCCACGACGGGATGGCCTGCCTCGGGGCCAGCTCGCTGGAAGAGGTCCGGGCCCGCGGCCCGCGACCGCAGCGTGCGCTCGACCGGGCGGAAGCGGCGCTCCAGGCAGCAGGCGTCCTCCCCGCGCCCTTCGGCTGGGTCGGCTGCGCTGCAGAACCACGACAGAAACTGCAGTGCGAGCGCGGCCGCAAGAAGCCCTCGCAGGACACCCAACCCTGACGAACCCGTGCGCCACGTGCACCCGAGGGCAAGCACGCAGCGCCCGGAACGCAGCAGCTTCCCTGACGGCCGCGGGAAGTCGCCGCGCAGCGCGCGGAGCGAAGAAACCCAGGGTGACCCCGACGAGAAGTAGAGGGTTTCTTGATGCGCGTCCCCACTGTACAGGCCCACTGGGGCAAAGCTGCACCCTCGGCCCACAGGGAGAGACTGCTGCGACTACTACACGACGAGGACCGCCGCCCACGCTTGCGAGAGAGCGGAGGCACAGGGGCAGGCAGCTGGCTCCTCCCACGCCAGCTCTGGGCGATCCCCGGCCAGCCCGACGCGCACGCCGACGGCATCCTGAAGCTGTGGTCCAGCATCCCAGTCTGCCCGCCTGGCTCCCGCTGTCAGCACTGCCGCCAGGACGGCAGCCTCTACAACGAGCGACCCGCATGGCTGGCACGCAGTCAAGTGCGAAGTGGGCGAAGCCAGTCGCGCTACATCTGCCAAATAAACCCGGCGAGACCCCAAGTAGGGGAGCACTTCCTATTGCATGTTGGCATTGCTTGGCACTGTTTGGCATTGCTTGGCGCTGCTTGTCGCTGCTTGGCGTTGCTTGGCAAGAGGCACCTGGGGAACCAGGGAACCTGGGGAACTCGAGGAAATCTCCAGGGAACGGGCAAAATAAGCCCCCGAGACACCAACCTTGAACCAAGGAAGAACCCCTTGGGCAAGCCTAATCCCACCATCCCTCTGGACGTAGCTGGTCTCGGGAGGCTTCTCTTCCAACCCCCTTCTTCCCCTTCGGGGAGGAATTCATCACTGTTCCCTATTCATATACACCTCCTCCCCCAGGCGACCAGCAGCCAACCAGGAACAGTGAGGACACCATGCTCCCCCTCCACAGCATCCCTTTCCAAAAACAATACAACACGCTCTCTGCCTCCACATTTGGAGCATGCGCGGCCCACCCGACGCAGCCCCCCCACCGTCCCTGTCAAAAACAAGACAAAGTGCACTTTGGGGCAAAGTCTTGAGTCATGTTCGTGAGATCCACGAGCACTTTGTATTGTGGTTTTGCCAGGGACGGCGAGGGTGTCAGCAGATTGCCTGCTGTGCGCAGGGCTACCATCCCTGACAAAAAACAATGCAACATGCACCTCGCGGCTAAATCTGGATCACGCGCGGCCACCACGCGATCACTGTCAAGTGGTTTTTGGCAGAAACGGCGGGGGTGGTGGCGTATGGCCTGCTGTGCGCAGGCCCACCAGACACAATGATGGGCATTGGTTTTTGACAAGGATGATGGGAGCCGACATGTTTCCCCATGTGTGCTGTCACGTGCGCAGGCGCACTTGACACACTCTGCACGTGCCCCGAACGTGGCGCACCTGGCGCGGTTGGAGTATGCGGCACACCTGGCGCACGCGGAGCACGTGGCGCACTCGGGTGCTAGACCAGCAGCGGTGCCAGCGACCACGCCTACGACGACCACCGGCACGACGACCACCACGACCACACTACGACAAGACACGACCACATTCACGACCACCTCGACGACGCGCCCACTACCGCGACCTCCACGACCACCACCACCACAACCACCATCACCACCACCACCAGCACGACCACCGCCATGACCACTGCGACAGGACACGGCCACCATCACGACAGCCACGACCACCACAACGACCGCCACCACGACGACACAATGCCCGCCACCCCCCCGCCCCCCGGCCTCCCTGCCCTCCTTCCCTCCTGCCCCCGGCCGCCCCTGCCGGCAGCTATCGCCTACTCACCTCGTCAGTTCACGCCTTTCTTGAACCGATCAGGTCTAGATTTAAGTCGGGCGTGTCCCCCTCCGGGGGATCTTCGACGAACAATGTGCAAACAAACTCCAATAAGACTCCAGAGTGGTCAAAAAAAATGCGCAGAAAATGGACCCCGGACTATTTCTTTCGCTGTGTTTGAACAGTCCTCCGGTAGAGCGACGGGCCCGACGCAAGTCCAGACTCCGTGGGGAACGGCGAGCTGGCGCGCGCCGCTCGGCTTCCGGGGGCCTGCCTGCCTCTGGCAGGGCCGGCGGGGCGCCCGTCGCCGGGGCGCCGCGAGGCGCGGGGCGCCCCGGCGCGGCGGCGCGGGGCGGGGAGGCTGGCGGCGTGGAGGTCAGGGACGTCTTGGCGCAGGAGCGGCGCGGGGCGTCGATGTCGGCGTCTCGTCGACAGCGACGTCGACGTCGAGAACGGCGGCACGGCGTCGACGTCGAGGACGGCGTCGACGGCGACGGCGACGTCGGCGTCGGGGGCGGCGCGTGGCCCCGACGACCCAGGCGCAGATCGCCAGATCCACACCGACGAACACGAGGAAAACCACCAACAGTCAACCCGTTTGGTGAGGATGCGCGAGGGCAAGGGCTCCCCACTTCGCGCTCTCGTGCGAAGCGCGAAGCGCGAAGAACCTCGCGCGCTCGCGCCGCCCCCCCAAAGGGAGAGAAAGGGAGGACGAGGAGGAGGGGGAGAAGGAGCGAGGACCGCGAAGCGCGAATCACTTCGCGCCCTCGTGGGAGCCCTTGGTTAAGGATGCACGGCCCTTGGACGCCCAGTTCGAAGCTTTTCGAGCGGGGCGCGGCCAGCTAAAGCGGCGAAGGATGGACCGAGGAGGCAAGGATGCAAGGTTACCCTTGGGAAGGTTGCCCATCCTTACTACGCGGGTTGACTGTAGAGCACATGAAGCTGGAGCGGTGGACCGCATCGAATCGAATCGGGTCGAGAGCCCCCGGACCTGGCAACCTCCAAACAAAAGGCCGGATCCTTTGTGGTCGTCGTCCTTCCCGCCACCCTTGTCCAGGCCGAGGAAAGTCTCCTCGATGAAGGGCGACTGGACGTCCAGATCCGCCCGCCCTCTCGCGAGACGAGCGCCGCACGCGCGCGGGCTCTGCGCGCACGGGTGCGCCCTCCTCCAGGGGTGTCGCCTCCACGTCGGGGTGATCTGAGTCACAGGTGCCCACGCCTGCGCTGCGCTTCGAGGCGGGGGGGGGAGGGAAGGCCGAACCCCCCAAACGCAACCCCTCCCCCCCGTCCAGACCCCTTCGGACATCTCAGGGGCAAGGTCACGGAGCGATCCTCCGACCCCATCTACTCGGACCCCATTTAGGAGGCCTAGAATTCAGGGGGGGATGCATCGACCTCCCAATCGCCCATCGATCGCCGGTCGGGGCCCGATGGCCCACCCGCAGGAACGTGAGGGCTCGCTGTCGGGGGCATATCGCCGATCTGTCGGCGATATGCATCGCCGACGCAAGCTCGATGGCCCCCCCTGAGCTACCCCCTCGACGCTGACCCTCGATGCCCTGGAGAGGCGCCCTCCACGCCCCGGCGCCGAGAGGTGTGCGGTAGGCACGCGTAACGCCCTGGCGAGGAGTCGGGGATCTTCTGACCCGGGTCAATCCAGGCCCAGGCCAGCCAGGCCTTGCAGAATCCTGCAAGAGCCTGCGCCACAAACCCGGGTCCATGCGAAGGATCCTGCAAGATCCTGCAGGATCCTGCACCCAAGCCCGGGTCAATGCGACCCTGGCCCTGCAGGATCCTGCAAGAGCCGGCGCTCTGGCTCCTGCAAGAGCCGGCGCTCTGGCTGACCCCCGCTTGCATTGACCCCCGTCTCAAGGCTCCCGAAGGAGGCGCCCTTCTGCATTGCCAGCGGGCGTGCGAGGAGACGGCTGCGCGGAGACCCCGTGCCTGCAGCCTCTGGTGAGCTCGCTGCCCGGGCACCCTGCCAGGGCGCCGCGTTAGCCTCGGGGGCCCCCCCTCCACTCAAGGCCCAAGAGCCAGGCGCGCTCGCTGTACCCTTCCGAGGCCTTGCCAAAAGCAGTGCAGTGCCCCAGAACCCCCGCACACCTGTGCAGCGGAACAGTCAAGGCATAAACCGAAACTTTCGCCAGCCTGCGCGCGGATTCCTTGGATCCGCACAGAGCCCTCCTTCCCTGGCGCGCGGAGCGCGCCAAGGCCGGAGACGCCGCCAGGGGCCCCAGCACAGATCCAGGAGATCCGCGCGGAGCGCCGGAAGTTTCTGTTTATGTCGTTTTTGTCATTCGGTGAGTGTACCCGTCCGAGGCCTTGCCAAAAACAGTGAAGCGCCCCAGAGCCCCCGTACACCTGTTACTAGTTCTGGACGTTCGCAGACTGGTCGGCAACTCCGTGTTCATGCCCCGTGGACTTCCTACCAATGTTCCAGCAGTGCAGCCGCTGCTTCCGGACCGAGAGACATCCTTCTTAGGAGGCCACAGGCGAATCCTACCCCACCACCCCACGATTTCTATGTGGGGAGGTGGGGTGCACTTCGTTTGGGACCTCCCTGGCAAAGTGAACCCCACCTCCCCCCTTAGAAATCGAGGGTTGGTGGGGCAGGGTTCGCATGTGGCGTCCTACCTCGACCACGAAACCGACGAAGCAGCACGCGCGAGGTCGCTGCGATGTGATGTTGGCCACCCGAGGAGCCGAGGGGTCAGTCACAACCAGAAGGCGAAGGCGGCCACAAGGCAAACGGCGCCCGAACGGCAAAACGCCGCCCAGATGGCAAAAGGCCGCCAAGATGGCAAACGGCGACCTACCAGACCACCCCAACCCAACCCGAAGACCCGAATTTCGGGTTGGGGGGGGTATGGGTTCCACACGTGTTTTTTCGATGTTCCCCGACCCCCCCCCCACTGGAAATGGAGGGCCAATTGAGGCCTTCGGGTTGGGTTGGGGTGGTTTGGTGGGTGGTGACAAACGGCGACCTATCGAGCACACCCAAAAGGGCAGAAGGCGGCCAGGATGGCCCAGGCACGCCCGATCTCATGCCCCTGCGAGTGCCTCGGCTCAGCCCAGACGGCAGGCGCGCTCGGCGGCGAACCGCGAGTGCGGATCGAAGCGAAACGTGCACCGAGTCAGGCTGCATCTTGGCGGCAAACCCAGGGGGGAGTGAGAAGGGGCGGGCCTTCTCAGACCTATGGCCTTCTGAGAAGTGTTCGAAGCATCCACCGAAGACACGGAAAACTTCGCAGAAGGCGCGAGGGCTCCTGAGAAGTCCTGTCGCATTCTGAGAAAGCCTTCAACTTCTCACTTCCCACCCTCCCTCGCCGCCGAGCATCGGCGCGGGTTCGGCTGCACCTTACGCAACTGCGCCAGAGCAAGACATCGGGCCGCACACGATCGTCGGACAGCCGACGTCGACGCAGACCGAGCCGGGTGGAATCCGCGCCGACCCGGACGGATCGAGCCGAAGCCCAGACGCTGGCCCTCGTTGCTCTCCACCCCTTGACTTGCACCAACGGTTCTGAAGGGGCCCTGGGACACACAAATCAATAGACGCAAATAACGGGAGTCTCCATGAATTCCTATATCTTCCAGGCTTTTGTCTTCCCCCCCTGTCCCATATGTTTCCATAGTTTCCTGGGGGTCGACGATGAATTGTGTCTTTGTGCCGTTTCCCCTCCTGAGTTTCCCTTGATCTGAAAACAGGCGCTGTTCAGACTCTGGGGCGCCCCCAGACTCTGGGGGTTGGGGGTTGCTCCGATTCTGTCTCTCGTTGTCCAACTGTGTCTCCTCGCTCGTGCCCCCTGCCTCCTTCTCCTGGTCCTCCTCCCTGCTTCTCTTCCCACTCCCTCTTCGCCTGCTTTTCCCAGTCCTGGTCTTCCTCTTCCCCCTCTTCCTCCTCCTGGCGGCGAGCCCTCCTCCTCTTCCTCCTTCTCCTCCTCCTCCTCCTCCTCTTCCTCCTTTTCCTCCTCCTCCTCCTCTTCCTCCCCCTCCTCCTGCTCCTCCTCCTCCTCCTCCTCCTC